TGATTCCTTCTTCACTGAAAAAAACCCCACACAACCCTCATCTTGCATTTTAGGGTATTTTCACCCTTTCCTTCAACTGCTTAAGCGTCAGGATATGCACAACCAAAGCCCTGTTTGACATTTGGCTATGGCTTGGGAGGGTCCTTCCCGTGTTTGAGCGCTGGAGAAGCCCAGGGTGACGGTCCAGAGCAGATCCTGCTCCTCAGGCACCGGTGCTGCCCGGTGCGGAGCAGCTCCACGGCTCCCCGCGCGCTCGTGCTCCGAGCCAGCGCCGGCCGGGCCGAGCTCCGCTCCCAAACTCCTCCAGCGCTCGAGGAACATCCCTGCTAAACCTGTGGAAGAGGCAGGCAGGTGACAGTAACCGACACCAAGAACTGAGGCGAGCTTTAGGAGACAGAACCACCACCCAATTCAGGATCAAGATTTATTAGGACAGGTCATGGTCATGCTCCATTTGATTACAAAGCACCAAAATCTAGATAAATGTACATTATCCACACGTAACCCATTTAAGACAGCTGCACACAGCTACAGCTGTCGTTTTAGGTGGTACCACACTCATGTCCCCCTCAAACTCCAGCGGATAAACAACCACGAGCTGCATGGGCTGCAGCCAGACTCTGGGGCAGGCTGCGGCAAGAACCACGAACCCCCCTCACGGCGGCCGTCTCGGGATAAAGTCCTGCAGCCCAAGGGATCTGCTGCAGGCAGGATTGCCCCAGGACAGCTTCCGAGCTGCGGTTTAGCACCTCACATCATCCGCCCCTTCCCTCGCTTTGATGCGGCCTTTTCTAAGAATAAATCCAGAGCCAGCACAACATTCAACAAGGAGCAAAGCACTAGGGCTGGGGTTGCACAGGAGCTTCACCTTCACGGGGAAATTGCTGAAAATCGTCCCACAAAACTGAACGCTGCTCTAGCTTCAGCCAAGGCCCCTGCAGCCACGTGTTATCACCACCACCAAGCTTCCCACACGGAGCTATAAAAGCCACAATCAAGACTCAGGCAAGTCCTTCAGTAAATGTGAAGCTGCAACAAGGTTTTCCGATTTTAAACTTAAGAATAAATCAGTGAAGGAAGGCAGAGAGGCAAACCTTGTAGCTAGGGAAAACCAGGTTTTCCAACGTAAGATCAGTTTTACTCCGGCGAGTCTTAGAGCCCCCGCGGCTGCAGGGCACCAGGCACCGCAGGCTCCCCGGGGCCGCTGCGGCGCGCGGGTGGGCGCAGCGCCCGCCTGGGCCCTGGAAGCTACAGGGCAAATATCCCACCAGTTTGTGCACTGCTACTTCCTCCGCAGATTAAAACATTCAGTCGATGATGTATCAGTGGATTCAATTGGAAAAAAGGAAATTGCTTTTATACATCGAGACACCAACAGTCCCTTGTTGTAGGCAGATGGTTTTCATCTTGTCCCATTCCTTGGCTGTTCCAGCACTATGGGAAGGGAGGCTCTCCATGGGAAGTCATACAGGCACCATGGAGCTCAGGGGGAGCTTAATAAAATAACATCTTACCAGAAAAGCAAACAATTTTTTGTACCATTTTATCCAGTATATGCACATTAAAAAAGCGTATTTTACAAAGAACTGAAGCAATAATTTAAACATGCTCTCAAGCAATAACCATATATACACACACAGAGAAACATATGCCTATACAAGGATCGAACAAGACTTGATTACAAGGTAATTCTACTGAAATTTTGAAGGGGAAGGGAGGGGGGAATGCATAAATCGAATGAGATCAAAGAAGTTTTTACGTTGCTTCTAAAACTAACAGAAATTTATTCAACACCACTGTCCTTCCTTAGCAGATATTTACTATGGTTTCATCTATTAAGGTCTTCCCAGGATTTCTGGACTCCCTGTACAGAGGTAGATTTCTGTAGATTTTCTGATATTGCACCATTTCAGCATGTTATGTTTATTAAAAGAAGAAACACAACTTACAAAGGCTAAGTTATGAGTATAGTCTCGCTGGCTGCCTTCCTGCAGTCAGAGTGGCCAAATTCACACACTTTAAAGAACAACCCTCAAAGTACTTCACTATTCAGCTGAAGGAGGTTTACTTGAGAGCTGCAGCTCTCCAGAGCTTCACATTAAACTATTTCTTAGCATCAGGGAAATGAACTTAAACCTCTCCCTCTCTTCTTGAGGCTGCTGTTTAAGCCATTGTCAGAACTGGCCCTGCTTTTACTGACGCTTTAATCCCATCCGTGTGCAAGTCAGACGCTGATTTCAAAGACACAGAGGTCCTTGTAGGACTAGTTCTTGCACATGCAAAGATTTATAACGTTAATAAGTTTAAGCAAAGATGCATTGAAACACTTCTTGAGGTGATTAAGAAATGCCCATCTGCGCTTTCAGACTGTAAAAGGAAAGCTGAAATGTTCCTTGCTTCAAAACAGCAATTAATCAGAAACAAAACTGATAGTATCAGGAAAACAAAGTTAGCAGTGACTTTTTTTGTCCATTCTTGATAAACCCTCTGACAAACCTCAGAATAAGTGCATCCAAAACACACAATGCCCACATGCAGCAACTCTGACGAGCTCACAAGCACTGCCCAATACTTTTTGAAGTATTTTTAGCCAGCTGCATTATCTCACTGTAAGTCTCTTAACATGGAGATTGCTTTTAGTTCTCAATACAATGTTACTCTGTGAACCCAAAGCATGGGAGAAGGGAAGTGCTGTCATTCTGGGCAAGATTCAACCCCGCAAGGCTGTGAACACATCCAGGTTCACCTAACAGCGCATGGCTCCCCATCACACAGGAGCCAGGCAAAGCAGCCAGCCTCCTCCTTTGCAGGTTTGTAACCTGAAAGTGAAAACTGAAGGGGAAAAGGAGGGCAACAGACACCCCCTCCTTTTGTACTAACCTATTTGTGAGTAGCTTGAACAAAGAATCGTGTTATAACCACTTAGCATTGTTTTCCAAAGTTCTGTTTCTGAAGCATCCTGTTCCTTACAAAATATTTCATCAGTAGGGAATGGTGCTACTAGTTAGAAATTGAGCATTTTTTACTAAAATAAGGATACAGAAAGCATAAATGTAATTCATTGCATATCCCAATATACATACACTTGTCACTCTAAAGGTTTTTTATTGGTTAAAAAGGCAAGTAAATCCCAAGTTACTATGCAACAACTGCAACACCACCATCAGAATTCATGACGACTGTTTCCCATAACAAAGGGAGAACAGAGAGCATACCTAGAAATAAGAGGATCTTGTCTTCTTGGGGCAGCCTGCTTCAGCTTGAAAGGCATCCTCATCCTGGGGCAGCTTCACCAAGGATTCCATTCCCTGCACCTGGCAGAAAGTGCTCAGGTACCTTGCAAGATGGTCATCTTGAACAGAAATCCACTGTACACAAGAGATTACATACAGCAGGAGTTAACAGACAAGGGCACAAATCAGGGCTTTCGGAGATTTTTCTTTCCTTTTTTTTTTTTAAAAAAGCAATGGTTCTTCACAAGTAATAACTCTGGAAAGCATCTCATTCTTCACGCAGCTAGTGCATAGCATCTGCAATTGCATAGAATGTTTCAGGTGCTCAATCTGCAACTAACCTAAGCAAGTCTCCTGCAAGTTGGAGCCGTCACCACTTGATATCCAGGTTATTTGCCGTTTGATTTACGGCACCGTATGTGGTGTGCAAAGTCTGCTGGGCCTTTGTGGAGTCCATGCCTTCCAACCAGTCCTGGTACATCTTCTGCACGTGCACGTTGGCTTCGGGCAGCCTGACGGGAATGGCAGCGTACACCTCTGCCATGCGGTTAAGCAGCGCCTTGTCCGGCTTCCCGGCCTCCTCCGCCGGCGCCTGCCCTTTCCCATTTAAGCACCCTGGAGGGGAAGAAAGCCCAAAACATGGATAGGGATTTGCTATGAACATAAAGACTATACCAACCTGAAAAATGTCTTCATAGGGACTTAGAGAGAAGAATAAGGGAAAAAAGGGGGGGGGGGGGGGAGAGAAATTACCCTCTGATTTTTGCAAGAACTAGCACCCTCTCCCCATCAGGATTTTTATTTACTTAGACCAACTTCAGCATCCACAGCTGATGTGCTGTTCTGTGGAAACGAGTTTTCCACAATCTTTTGCTTTTCTTGGTTTTGTGATCTCAACTACATCTCCTGTCTTTTCTTGTCCTGGAAAACTACCATTTCATAGTCTTTCCTCTGAAGTTTGCAATAACCCGAAAGACCAAACTAGAACTTATTTGTAGGTCTGCAGAGAGCAAGTGAAGTGCCTGCCTGCAAGACAACCTTCCTTTAGAATCTAGGTGAGTGCAAAAGGGCTGGGGACCCACTGTCCTTCTTACCTCCTGGGCAGGCAAGGACTTCCACAAAATGGTATGAAAACTTTCCCTTTTTCATTTTCAGAACCATGTTCTGGATATTTCTGAAGCCATAAGCTGCTGCAAAACGCAGCAGTGTTTCACCATCCTTTTCAAGGGTAACTTCTTGGAAGTCTTTGTTCCTGCAAAGATACATGGAGCAGATTTTAAGCTCTTGTATTATCCAAAGAAGTTTGTATTCAGATCCTTATAAGAACAGAAAAGGAGGATAACAGTGGGATTAAGTTCTAAATTCTAAGTAAAATAGAAGCTAGGTGCAATTTCCAGGAAAAAAACATACCTCATTTGCAGGGTAGAAACATTATTTAAAAAAAGTCAAACCATCTACTTCATAGCCATGAATTTACAGGTTTATAATATTTAAAAGCCTCTTAGGGCTGTATCAGGTTAGTAACGGCCACATTCAAGTTCACGGTAGCTCCAATTAATCCATCTGACAAGAGAGTGCAGAACACCAACTTACTTTAACGCTTTGTAGGTGATTTCTTTAACATCTATGCCAAAAAGTTCTTTTGCTGCATGTTTAAAAATGTGCTCCAGGTAACCATCAGATGTCTTCCCATCATGTCTCACTACATCCCCCTCCTTTATTTCACCAAACCTTAAGAAAAGAGCAGAAGAAAATAAGATAAACTCAAAAAAATCAGTTCCTTCAAGTATGTAGAATCTATTCTTCTCCTCTCTCTCACAAAGGAAGCATTTTATAGCAGTGAGTGTATTAATGCAGTAACATTTTTAAGCAGGGAACAAGCATTTCAGAAGTTACAATCCCTCGCTCTTGTGACAAGCAATTCTCCTGTTGGGAATGCCACAGGTAGGAGACAAGCAGTCAAGTGGGAATTTGTAACTCAGCAGAGGGCTGTATTGTGCCTTCCCCACTCAAACGGAGCACTGGCAGGCACAGGTGGCTGCAGCACACGCTGTACCACATCACGTGCTGGTCAAAGCCAAAGACCACAAATCTACAGGCTTGCGTTCCTTTGAGCGGGAGGGAAACTGCCAGGGGTGGCTGGTAGGGCTCCTTTCACAGGGAATTTTTCTTCAGATTAGTGAAGAGACAGATGTTTTGCTCTGACACATAAAAGTGTCTTTAGTTACAGTCTAATTTACCTTCCTACTGGAATACCCAACCATGACCTCACCTGCTCTTTACCACTCATTCTTGCCTGAGCATGATGTTCTATCAGGTAACCAAAGCAAGAACTACAGCTGGAAACGCCTTACAAAAAATGTGAGGTTGTAATAAGCACAAAGTGCAACCACTGAAGAACTGAAGCTCAAATCTGCTACATACACCCCCTCTAAATGCCACCAATACATTCCATTTATTTAAGAAGTTGCAGAGCTTTTTAATAAAACAGACAATTCAACTTCATGAGATTGCCTCCTAATTTTAACCTGATGCTGCCTCCTAATTTTAGTCAACTGCTATTTGTTAACATTATCTAGATGTAAAAAAAAATGAGAACTTGAATGCGAGTTTCTTTGTTCACACTACTTTTCTAATACTAAGAATCACAAGTACTTCACCACGAATTGCTGCCATTGTATTATTTAAACAGGAGGAGTTTAATCTATATTCATTCCTCTGAAAACCTACTTTGAGGATTCAAGAATAACAAAATCTAATGTCTTCAGGTTCACATCTTGTGCCAAACCATTATTTAAGTAAAAAAAAAAAAAAAAAAAAAAAAAGCCTTATTCTCCAGTATAATCTGATCCAATGGAACATGTACATTTCTCTTCAATGGGGCAGTCTGTTTAAGACTTATTACCTCTGCATGGCTGTGTATGCAAAAGCATATATACATTATATCCATGTGTGTGTTTACATATTTAAAATATATGTAATTTTCAATCACTGTAGCAGTTTCCGGTAGAAGTAGTTGCAGCAGCTGTACTACACACACAGCACTGAAATCATTACCACTCTATCGCATCTCCCAGTCTAGACAAGGTCTCTAGGATATTCACTAAAAGTTAAAAGGATTTTTAAGCATTTTCTTCCCTTTGGGCAAGAAAGCGTTTTACTGCTCAATTATCACTCTATAAAGAGACCAAGTAACATCTGCCACGCTTGAAGCAGGATTAGTAAAGTGGAAGACCTGCCTTTGCAATCACAATAACACTGCTTTGAGGCAGTCCTGCAGCGAGTAAACAACATCTCATTAAGGCTTTGTTGGATTTTCGTCTACAAGCCCCCACCATTTTACCGGTTTTAAAAAACTGAGCTGCTCTAAGGCAGAACCGACTTGGCATGTTGTAAGAGGGCACTATTTCTGTTAATTCTACACGGCTGAATCACAGAAAAGTAGAAATTGACTTTGAAGATGCTGGCCTGAGTGAGAGGGAAGCACAGAACAGATGGTCAAGCCCACGATGACATCCCGGCACATCCTCACGTAAGGTCAGGCAGCAGGAGGGCGCAAATCAGACTGTTCAAATTTATAAATGCTCAGACACAGGGAAGCTTTAGAACAATAAGGTCAAACACCCTTAGGCACACTTGCTAGCAAGTCATGAACTTCAAATCTAGTATTTGCATTTCTGCAATAAAAATAAGAGCTATGTATCTTCAGAAATCATGAAGCTTACAAATTTTTGAAAAGGATTGTTATTTCAAATGAGCTGTTTTAGAGTGATATAGTAACAGCATTAATCGTTTCATACAATGTCTTTATTTTTAGCAATATGTATCTAAATATGCATATATATATATATAAATAAAAGATTTAAAGGGTAAGACTAAGACACTCAGGCTTTGATGTAGGCTTTTTCTTTCCTTCGAAAGGAAAAACATCCCGTTGAGAAATTTTACATTCACATTGAACTCGCTCAAGTGTTTGTCATCCATATAACAAAGCAATCGGCAGTAAAACTACTTACAAACTATCCACAGCTACCTCAGCCACATCTTTCGCAGACACATTTTTCTGTTCCATTATTTGGACAATTTCACCTGTAGAAAAATGCACAACATTTTACATTCAGCACACAGCTGAATGAATCTTAAGATATGGATCTTAAGAGATCCATATCCCAGCACTAACATGGGCTTAAAGCCACATTCTCCCATTAATACTAGCATTGGTTCCTCATGGGAATCAACGCTAGTATTAATGGGAGAATGATTCCCATTGAGGAACCCAAGGGAGAATGATTCCCTTGAGGAATCCAGATACCTGGCACTTGCAGCCCTAAACAAAAGGCTCACGCAATTCCTCCAAACTTTAAGCAACAGCTCAGCATTTTGGTGAAATAAAATAGGGAAGTTTCTAGATCTCAAGGTAAAAAAGGAGGATACACTGTTTGGACATTAGACCTAGAAACAAGAGTCACACCAAAAAGCCACTGCTACTGTGCATTTGGGAAGTTAATTCCAGTTTTTGTGAAAGAAAAAAATCCTTTTTTTGACTAACTGGCAAGCACAAGACAGAGATTATAATATGGCATAACTACAATAAGGCTCTTGGCTTTCCCAAGGGTTTGACAAGAACAAATAGCTGAATCTTGTTTTTGGATGAGTATCAATACATTTGCATTACATTTGCACTTACCCTACACAACACCTCTACTACCAAAAGCAAAACAAAGGACATTTATTTTTAAAGTGGGTGGGAAAAAAAAAAAAGCCTTATCCTTCCACTAAGACAGGTTTGAAAATACAGGGTCCAGGCTAAAAGTCAGTATGGGCCTTTCGGATTATTTCAATGCAGATTCATGTATGGCTTATTAAAGAAATTTTAACCTGATGTTAGAACACAATCGACTTCTGGAGAATTCCACAAGGCAGTGTAGAAGTCTTCCCGCAAGGCTTCCAATTTTTTGTCGTAACAAGGTGCCACAACTACATGGAAAATCTTATCAGGAGACAAATTCTGTGGGACAAAAGACAAAACACATGAACTCCATGAAGAGCAAAGAGAACTTCAAGGATGAAAAATGCAACCAAAAGCATTATATATGTAACAATCATAATCAATCCTGGTGATAAACTGAAGACTAGGCACATGTCTGATGAAGTCATTTGCCAATAGTCATCAAGCATCAGCAACAATCATCCAAAGCAAAGAGTCTTTTGACTGAAACTTGTGCTTATTCCCTCAGAGCACAATTTGCACAACTTTTGTATCATCCATTTCTCAGGGCAGAGGGAAGTCAAGACTTCAGAACTCTCTTTTCCAGCTCTGTTACTCCACTTCCATCCACTCCACTTTCATTCACCCCAAGTTCATCAGTATTTCTGTATCCGTGTGTAAAAAAACGTTACTTTTCTATGTAATCTGGATGCAGTAAGATTAACATAAAATGTATGAAAAGGGCAACTTTTTCATAATGCACAAGTGAAGAGAGAAAGTTCAGTATCTCGGATGCAATGTTCTTCCTCAAAAACAGGATAATTTCTATATTTTCCTCTGCTCCCTGCTTTGGCTATGGTATAGAACGCCACATGTAACGTTTGAAAATAAAACATATTAGCCATCCTGGATTTAATATTATACATAGTTACATCCATATTTCACTAGTAACACAAGGATTTGCATCAGTTTAAACATACTGCACAAAATGAAGTTCTTTTTATTTTTTCCATATGATAACTACTTGCATAGGAACAGAACACAATTCATTTTAAGCAAAGGACAAACAGTTCAGACAGATGTTTTATCTTTTTACAGTGCAGTAAGATGGATTTTTCCATTTTAAAAACCTATTTATCATTCTTTTTAGCAAAATATAAAGAAAGATAAAACAAAATGACTTACCTTCTGCCTGGCAAAGTAACCTTTCACCAGGGAGCCCATGATCTGCTGTGGAGACTTTGCAGTGCAGATGTGAGAGGTCACGAGATTGGTGAGTACCCTTTCAGCATACCGGATCCAACCTGCAACGAAAGCAAATCAACATCAGTGAAAGGAATAAACATATGGCAAGCTGAAAAGCTCTTAAAAATGAAGAGAACTTCACAGTACATGAGATGCTTCTGCAAACAGTTATTTACGCAAGTAGAAGCAGTGTTTCTGCTTTGAAAACTCAGCCCATGTAAACTGTAAGCCCCACACAAAGGGCTGTAAGAAACCTCGAGACACTATTAACCACAGTTTACGACAGGTTATGGATAATCCAGCGTGTCTCTAGTTCTAGACCTAGAGAACATCGAAGGAAAATCGTTTACACCCTAACACACAGATTTAATGAACAGGACCCCAGCCAACCAAGCTGCCAGCACTCCAGACCTCACCACTTGCATCAGCTAGTACTACATGCTCTCTTCAGCTTGTAACCTTTTGCTTCCTGAGATTTAACACCCATATAACAAGCTTGCTTTTTAGAAAAAGGATGCAATGAAGTACTACCTAAAATGGACATGCATTATGTGCCAATGAAAGGCTTTTTTTTGTTGTTGTTTTTAAACCATTGGCAGGGTAGCTAAATCCCATTAGAAACACTCCTACGTCACAAACACAGAGTTAGCAACTGAGATATTAAAGACTCCCTCTCCCTTTACCAAACTCCTTTGGCATTCTAGCTATTATTTTATCCTCACATCACTACCAATATCTAAGGCAGCTCTTTTGTTCCCCATTTTGTAGAACAGGAATCAATGAGCAGATTAAGGTATTTGGGGTGGGTAGCCCTTATTTAGGCACTGTAGCTCTTACTGAAGTGTCCAGGATCTTTCCCTGCAAAGACTCAAGTTTAGACTTTCTGTTTCATCTACATCGACTCTGAACCAGGTAGCTAAATGGTGCAGTTGGGCCAGGCCCAACTTTGGGAAACTCTATTGCTAAGGAGTCAACAAAGTCTCATTTCATCTTTTTAATTAGACCAGCGTTTAGATAAGATCAAAAGAACTTCTGCAAGGTACATGCTACCCAAGAAATGTAACACCTGTAACAGCTAAAGGTGAATTTTAAAGATTATCAGTTTATATGTTCAACTCAAAATACAGGATGAAGGCCAATAACAGCATAAAACTGGAATCCAAATTGCATTCAGGTGGTTTGTCCATACGGAAAAGGATTTTTTTCCCTGGAGTTTAGCATAATAATGTTTACTGATGAGGAGGGTATAAATGTTAGGGAAACATGAGGATCATCCACCCGTTTAGTACTTGCAATTCAAGCATATACTTTAAGCGATGCAGGAAGAAGTTCATCCAAGATGTACACAATCTTGCACAATCATTCATTTATAAACTAGAAAATGCTACAAGACTGGATTTATATGTCAGGGCCCCGCTGAATTGCTGATCTTTAAATAGAAGTTTGTGTAGTGCTCAGCATAAAGCAGCAGTATAAATCTAATGTACAGCATATAACAAAAGATTTAGTTTCCCGGTGCTTGGGGTAAAGGCTAGCTTAGCATATTCTGCATGATGTATACATTAAAATAAAATAAACGCTGCTGCAAACAAAATGGGGACAGTTTTTCTTAATTAAAAGACATTCTGTCTCTGGTCACTTTGGCAGTCTCTCTGAACCTCAGAATTCTTCCTTGAAACTGCAGCAATGTTTTTACCATTAATTACCACAGGACTCGGGCCAAGTGGCTCATTTTCAAATGCTCAATGCTTTGATTATCAATAGTCATACGCTACAAGAAAACTTCACTAAATCACCCCAAACTGCTGCCACCTTTTGCCTAAAGTAACTTCTTAAATTATTTCTTTCCTTTGCAGTACACAGAATAAACACCCTGTAGCTCCAGCTCCACAGTGACCACTGGTCCCTGTTAAGCCACAGGAGCTGCCCTGGCAAAGGAGCAAGTCAGGGCTTTTATTGGCGCTTCCCACTCGCACGGCTGTTTCTGCTCGCTCCACACAGCGCTGAATTCCACAGCCACCCTCGCGGGAAGCCCAAGATACCAAGTTCTTGCATCAACATATGTCTGCACCCATGGAGACTCGCGCCCTTCCCAAGATCATTCCAATTATCAGCCCCTTCCTGCTTTGCTTTAGGGTCAAAGAACAAAAAAGAAACCCCACAAGCAACTGTGGAAGACCTTGCAGACAAACTTCAGAATTCCACATTATTTTTGTGGTTTATTATAAACAGGTCACATACAGACCTATGCTACAAATAATTACGCATTATTATACAGTGCAGAAAAAAAATAAGCAGATAAGCATTCCCTACTCAAGCTATACTCCTGTAAAAGGAAATGAGTCTGATTTACTGGGACATCAGCACAGGAATCCAAGAGTTATGCTCTTCCCAGTTCTAGAACGCTATTCCATTTATCTTTTAGAAATGACCAGAAATTGATACTGCTTTAAAAACATTGACTGGTTCCTACAACAAGTGCTCAATGTCAGTAACTAGTCTGGTAAATTAAGGAAAAATAAGTTATTTCTATAAAATCAACAGTGGTCATGTTGTATTTTGAGCAGACAATAAAAAAAGTTTTCCACTTTTTTTAATTTGAAAAGCAGAAAATGTAAAAATAATCTAGACAAACAATAAAATGGTGGTGGAGCCATGCCTTCTATGCTCTTTCATTCAGTGTAGATTTTGTACTGCAGACAGACCACTATCACAGAGGTCAATGATTCAGTGTGTGGATAGCTGCACCCAAAAGCTAAATTAAGAGTACACCAGTTACATCTCAGTACACATTGACCTTGTATCTACAATGCTCAAAAAAAAAAAAAAAAAGAGAGAGAGAAACACAACTCATAAACAAAAGAAAAAAAGCCCCACACATTTCCACTTCTTGGGAATCTAGAAACAAAGAGGAACAAAGAGGGGGAAGAACAAGGATTAAAAAATGGACCCTGGCAACTGAAGTCAGGAGCAAAAAAAATCCCCTACTTTAGAGATGAACAATCATGAAATTTTTCTACAGTTGTTATCAACAGGAATGAAGCATCACACACTTTTGTGATGGATGATTTTGTTTTATTTCAGTTCAGCTGTCCAGCAATGGAGAACACCCAAGCCTCTCCTCACACCACAGCACACTGGCACCACCACTAGCACTGAAATGGGAAGAGACATGGCCCAAAAGCTCTCCATTACCAGTTCTGAAATAACTCCAGTAAAAGGGGCAGGTGATCTCAGTTCTGTTGCTGCATGCAGAATATTAATATTATTCCAAACAGAAAGAATTATTTGAAAGAATTCCTCAGGTTCCTAATTTTAAATAAACTATGTACAAGAAGACAAAGCTCACTAACAGGAACTTGTTCCGAATTCATGGGTTGCATTAAAAAAAAAAAAAAGCATACAACATGTTTCCTTCTGAAGTTAGGAGATAATACTCACTAACAGAAAAGTCTAGAGACATTTCCCTCTTGACACATATTCCGAAGTTAGAGATATTTTTCATAGAAAATAATTTGAAAAACATCACAGCAAACTTAAGGCAGGGCTGGGGAGAAAGGAACAAAGGAATGACTTTTGCCCCTTTTCTTGTATTTCTGTTCTTAGAACAGTGATTAAGAAATTCAAATGCTAGTGTGCTAATACATGCAAAAAGTAAACCAGTAGGACAGAGACACCAGGATGTACTAAATCTTTTCAGTTACAATAAATGCAGATTCTGCTCGTAACAGAACACCTCTCAGGCGCAAACACTGTGACATTTCAAGCTGGGATTATTTTGCAAGTTTTAAACATCACCTCTCACAGTCAATGAGAATGTCACTCCTGTACTTTCTCCTGCATGCAAGTGTCAAAGTGACAAGTACAAGCTCTGCATAAGGTAAACACAGAGTTATATCCATTCACAATGGCATTCTTTTCAATAAGGGAATGGTACATTACTGAGCTCTGTGGCCTGAGCATACAAGTAGCAGCTATTGATTCCTCAATCTTAATTCCAGCTTTGCCAAATTCCTCCTAGGCCCTTAGAAGAAACACAGAAAACTTCAGTCTCCTGTATCTCACTTTTATTAGGACACTCGTATAGATTCCCATTTCAAATGCTTCTTTTGCAGAAATGACGTGAAATGCAAGTGGCTACTAGATTCCAGGTGTAAGTACCGGCACAGAAAACTGCTCACTCGGGATCCTTCTACTAGTAGAAGCTGTGGACGATCAGTAAGGCTCATTTTCAGAAACAGCAACAAGAGGCTTTGCACACTGTAAAGTCCAGAGGGACAAGTGTGAGAAGACAGGACACTTATGGGAGCCTTTTTATCTGCCTGCCCAGGAGCTGCTCTGTATCAGTATACACCTTATCCAACTTGCTCACACCCATTCTGGTCTGCAGGGCTCTCATTTATGGCTCTACCAGCCTCCTTGCACGCGGGGAATCTGCTGATGCATGGTAACAAACTCTGCCCTCCTAAGAGCTCCAAGAAAACAGGACAAACTAATACAGCACTGAAACACACCAAGCATAACAGATAACATGTACTACAAGGTTCGGTGTTTCTCAAAAGCAAAGTCCAAAAGCTGCAAGTTCTGTAAGGCTCCTGAACAAAACCTCTTTGCTCTTAGTTCCCTAGTGGTTCCAGTGAGACTAGAATAAAGTGCAGAGAGGTTTCACAAGTCAATTCTCACCAGGGCAAGCGGAGGCAAACATTGGTAAGGCATGCTCCTCCTGGTTCCTCTGCCGATACCGCTGCACAAATTCCCTCTGGCTCTCCAAGATACTGAAATCAGCAGCTATAGTGGTGTCAAATACATAATGCACTCCTGTGAAACAAAACAATAAAGAAAAAATGAATTACGAGATCATTTTCTATCTTGCAGTTTTTTTTCTCACCCCCCCCCCCCCCCCCCCCCCCCCCCGGTTCTAGGCATATAGAAAAACTCACAAGATCAGTGGATGTACTCTTTACCCTCTCCAAATTTTCACAACTAGTACAGTCAAAAATAAAACCCATACATTAGAAAGACCATCTTGTTCATGTCCTGAGTTTGAAAGAAGTAGCAACTTGTTAACGTTAGCAACATTTCAAACAGCTGTCTGCTTCCTTATGTAAGGCTCATCACTGGGCACGTATTTGTTTGCTTATTTGACGGCAGGGTATCTCCAGATAGCAGGGCTACAGGTAGAGACTCTTGAAACGCTTAAAGGCTTGCTGAAATTACTGTTTTTAATCCACAAAAGCTTACATATGCCACTGACGGGCACATCTTCCACTGCTACAGTTGCCTGTGACAGTACACAAGCATATCATCACTACAGTGAAGACCTCCTGTCTGTTTATGTACCTGTTTATGTACTCTCTATGCACTTACATAATACTGAGTATGTCCTTGCAACAAGGGGAGCAAAGATGATTAAAATCTCCTAAGAAAATTGGGGGGGAATCTTTTTTTCTGTTGAGAAAAATATGCTGGGTACAGAGATACATTAGAACACATTACATGGCAGACCATGGTTTACAGGTTTATTACTCTCTGCCCTCAGATTTATGTTTAGATCAAACCAAATCCACTAAACTATGGGCAACAGACAAATAGTAAACTGAACTGCCTATTTACATTTTCACAAAACATACACTATGAAGAACAAAAATACAACTTCAACATAAAATAAGTAGATGCAACATACTTCCTGCAAGCCAATTCAAGTTACAGAGAAAAACGAAATTAAGAATTTTCTAGCGACATAAAATGTCAAAGGACCAGGAACCATTTAGAGTAGGAATCTCCCTCCTCCTCAGTCACAAAATAAGAGGGTATCTTATGGGTACATATCAAAAAACCACAAGTTTCTTCTTCTTTTTTTTCCAGAAAGTACTCACAGATTAGGCTTCCTCACTTTCCTGCTTGTTCAACAAGTCACATGCTACAGTGCTAGCAGAGCATGTTTTGCCATGCTGCTCACTTCACATTTTAGTCTTTCCTGGTTATATCTTCCTCCCTGAAGACTACAGAAATTAACTGCCGAGACACGTTTTCTTTCTTGCACGTTTTCTTTCTTTCCATCTAATGACACATGCAGAGGAAGACAACTCTGGATGTGCAAAGGCGGCTGACCTGTAGCTATTTCCTATCCCAGGAAAATAACCTCTCATGGCTGCAGACTAAATTCAGTTAACAGGCACCTTACAGTAAAGAAACAAGCCTATCTATTTATACCAACTGCTTTACTAACCAAGCTTGCTCAGCAACGAGGCATAACGATGCCCAAAGGCATTTTTACATGCCTTTCACAACACGTGAATGGTTTTAAATTCTGACTGTTCACCTTTCAAGGATAAGCCCTAAGAAGTCTCACTTCTAAAATTCTACTTCCTCAATGGAAAAAAAACACAAATCTGGGTATATGAGACATCTATTTCCTGCTAAGCTGGTCTGCTTTAAGCAGTACAGACCATGTGTTTTGAGTTAAGTAAGAAATGTACTCTACTCAAAATAAAACTGCTAATCCAGTTTTTCAGAACCAAATGAATGCATCTGTAAAGAAAGAAAGAAACAAACAACAACATAAACAAAACAACCTGATCTCAGTGTGAAGCTTCCAGCGCCTGCAGAGGCAAGGTAGGTGCAGGGTAAGAAAATGGCAAAAAGAACTGTGGAAGATGGCTCCATCATGTCCTATTCTGTGACCTCTATTACCGTAATAACGCCTCAAATCCCCTTCTGAAACTTGCACCATTATGGTGCTGTCACAGAATACATATTTTAAATTGAACTCTAAACCAGATTGTGTAATGGCATTTTATGACTGCATAACAAACATGATTCTGCTAGTGAAGCAAAAACCTAAAATAACCCCTGTTTCTGCTCCACCGTCATAATAAATTCAAACTTACCGAGACTTTTGAGGAAACCACAGAGTCTCCTGGCTGCATCATTCACAGAGAGATCGAATTTAGCAGCAAAATAAGGCAATGACTGAGGGCATATAGACACTGCCAACACTTTGTGTTTTGAGGTATCACATTTCTGGTGAACAAAACAAAAATAGTGGTTAACGAGGTGTGAGATTAGAACTAGGTAAATTCTCTATTCTCCCTCTCTCTTTCACTCCTGGAAATTATTCCTCAGTATCCCGTGCTTCTGTGGGCCATACTATAAAAACCTTTAAAAATGTCTTGTTAACATTGAAGAACGATTTGAAAATATGTAATTTAAAGTAATGCAAAACAGTAAAAGGCTGGAGGCGGATATTTATATGAATATTAACGCTGGGTTTAGTTGGTTCTTGCGGTTAAGAGTTTCTTAATTTCACTGGTGAAATCCCTGCAGAACTGGGACATATGTCACAGTTAAGTCTTTGCTCTAGAAATCTTAAGAGAGCGTATTTTGTACTTAAATGTCCTAAACATACACAGTGGTACCGAAGTGGAGTTCCTCACTGGCAAAGTACCTTCCTTGCTCACTGTTCTACTTAGGACCACCCTGAACTTCTGTTTAGGCTACTTGGCTGCCTCTGAATTTTGGGCTTTGAACTCTCTCTGGATAGGCTCCCACAAGACCTCGTGTTTTTTTTTTTTTTTCCCCTTGTTCATCTCCAATTGTCATTGCTTTTTGCCATGTACACCATTGTGTGTATGAGGAACTAAACTAGTTTTAAGAAAAACTGCTACGTGAGAACTACTCTCAATCATGATACTACGGTATACCTTAAGAAAAAGACAGAATCAGTTCTGTTCTTACACGGTAAGGAAAAATTACTTCTGAAGTCTGTAAATAAAATAATTCAATCAAGATCTGGAGATTTGAGTGTTGTACGTATTAACTACTTTCCAAGGAATCTACATTTCAGCAGACAATGCAAGACAGCAAAAGAACACATTTAACTGTTTCGGCTAAGAGTCTTGGCCCACAACTTATATTCCAAATACAGACAGCTCAATATAGTGCCAAATATAGGCATTAAAAAACAAATCTAACTTGAAAAATTAGCCTTTGGTAACTTCATATAATGTGGACATAGTGGCATCAAAAAACACTCAAAATAATCCCAGTAACTGGGCAAAGCATATTTAGAAACTCTGAACCACAAACCAATTATCATTACCGTAGTGAGGTAGTTAGGTTTGGTAAATAACTCTCTTTTGGTATTTAGGTTCAGTATTGTGATCTTGCCTCTCTACTGCAAAATTATTTCAAGTACTTCACCGTTCATCTTGCCTTTAGCCTTCACCTTCTCCTTATATAAAGTATATCCTTACAAATCTGCACATTATCTGCCTCAGGCAACCAAGCTGCTTAGTCATTCAGCAATTTTCTGCACCTCACAGAAGAGTGTACTATTTCTGTCAGTTTACCTTATTAAGGTTGAGTACTCGGAAGAGCTCTTTCTGATTCTGCTGGAAAACCCTGGCTCCCTCTTCTGATGTCATACAACTGTCACAAGCCAGGCAGTCGCTAAGGAGTGTTTTAGCATTATCCAAAGCATGAAATTCATTTTTCTGAGGGGTGGAAAAAAAAAGAATTCCATACACACACGTATGTAAATAAACAAACACTAAACAGTGAGCAATCAATTTTCAGATCTCTACAATGACTTATCTAAGGATCAAGCATGCTCTATTTTGTTTTAAACAAGGCAATCCACAAGGCCCAAATAACATGCAATATTATTCAGAAATAATCAGAGTAACCTGTTGCATCCTTCTCCAGGGTTCTGCTCCTATTATTCCTGTGAAACTGCAGAACACTTAATATCTAAATTTAGCCCTGAAGACTACATTCACACTTAATTTCAGGACAGACAGTTCCCATCAATTCACCAAGCAATTAAGAAATCTTTCATTTGAACTATTAAGTCTCCTCAAAACCAACACAAGAATTGGAGGGACTAGGTTGTTTTTCTTTCCATGGCCCCAACCAAGTATTAACAGGGTTTGCAATACAAAGGAAAAAAAAAAAAAAAGAAAAAAAAAAAAACACCCTATACGTGAAGTTTTCTTTTGAACTTGGTTTGCTTCACATAGCCAGTTGCCTTTGTAATGGCAGCTCCATTAGCTACAAATAGAATATAGCTTTAGAATCGACCATTTCCTATAATACGAGGACTTCTACAACTCTAGCTAAAATACTGTTGGCAGTTGTGGATACTCATGTAGAAGTGCAAGATGGCCGGACTGCTTAATTAAGAACCATCCCCAAGACAACAGCTACAGATCACCTACCACACTGCTCTTAGGTAAGTCTGTCTCACACAGATATGAAAAACACACTGTGCATTAACTGTAAAGCACCTCCCTTCTTTCCCCCTTAAAGAGAATATTTTTCTCTTTACTATTTTTGTTTGAACCATTTGAGGCAAGATTTACTTTCTTTTTGATACTTAAAAAACTTCAGCCAAAACAATTTCTTTTTAGTGCTCATATACTCCATTTTCCCCCCTATCTTTTTAATAGACTTTTAATTCTCATGTTATGAGACAGCAGGAGAGCTCATACTTTTCTAACACTGCCGGTTTGCTGATCTCCTTTATGCTCAGCACACCTGAAAACTACCATGCCATCCCTTTACAGCAGGGCACAAAGAGCAAAAATATGAGTATGTATTTATTTTTTTTTAAACAAAGATTATTACCTCTTCCAATTCCGCATTTGAAGTCAATGCATTAGCAGGTGTACTCTGTGTATCATCATTTTTCTGTTTCTTACTGCATTCCTGAAATCAATAAAAGTACATTAAGCCAAACATTAGTCATTCAATTAAATGAATCTTTGATATTCACATCATTCAAAAATTACAGTTTGCTTGCTGCTTTTGACAGTCAAACGCACAATGCTGTGTTCTCAAGGCGCGTCTGCCATAGAGACAATGGTTCCTTGGGGACTCCCTCGCTCCTGAGTATTTTTATTCCCTCCGGGGAAGGCTGAACTAAACAGCGCCAACTCAGCGCCCCGCGGACACGCGAGGCGACGGGAGACACGCGTGACGGCTCAATCAGCGGCACGTCTTTGCCGGCAGATCTGCCAAAGGGACTGTCCAGCTTGTAAAGCTGCACTTCACTGCCTTCCACACTGCGATGGTTATAATTTTGTCCAGGAAGTCTTGGTTTGCTCTCATCTCGCTTCTGGAGCGAGGGAAAGGGGCTCTGCCCCCTGCCAGGGCTGTGCCGATGATCCAAGGATCATGCATGGAGCAGCTTTTAGAGAAAAGCAAGACATCAATATGTGTAAATACAAAGGAGAATGTAAAGAGAATGGGGCCGAACTCTGCTCAGTGGTGGACAATAACAGGACAAGAGGTAACGGGTATAAATTAAAACACAGTAAGTTCCCTCTCTATGTGGGGAACAACTTGTTTGGTGTGAGGGGGCCCGAGCCCTGGCCCAGGCTGCCCAGGGAGGCTGCGGAGGCTCCTGGTCCGGAGACCTCCCCAACCCACCGGGATGGGACCGGGTGCCCCGTGCTTTGGGTGTCTGTGCTGGAGCAGGGGGTGGCTTGGTGATCCCTTGGGGTCCCTTCCAACCTCAGCCATTCTGCCCCTGTGACAAGCCCCCGCACCTTCCCGGGGCAGGAGGAACCTTCCCGCGTCCTCCGCGCGTTGCCAACGCGGGTCTGGAGAAAACAAACCGCCGCCGGGCGCGGACGGCGCGAGGCGCCGGGAGCCGCTTCGGCCGCCGGTGACCTTGGTGCCGCGCGCCCTCACCCGCCAAGGGCGCCCGCGTCGCCGCGCTCACCTTCTTGCTGCAGTTCTCGCACTTCATTTGCGCGCCGGGCGGCGCCTGCGGCCGCTGCGCTGCTCCCCGCCGCGCTGGAGGGCACCACGAGGAGGAGGAGGAGGGAGGTAGGTGAGCGCCCGGCGCCCTTTGTTGCCGCGCCCGCCGCCTGCCCGGAGGGCGGCCCCGCTGCGCCCCTCACGTGCCCCGCGAGGCCCGGGGCGCCGCCGGCCCCGCCGCCCTCCCGGGCTCCGCGCTGGGCWGCGGCCGCCCCAATACCCGTAAGGGGCCCGGGGGCTGCGCGGGGAGCGCGCGGAGAAGCGGCAGCCCCGCGGCGCGGCCCCTCACCCGGCGGAGCGCGGAGCCCGGCGCGGCGGCCCCGCTGCCCGCCGCGGTCACGACAGCCCCGGGCGAGCGGGGCGCCGGAACAGGGGCTGCCCGCAAGCCCTCGGCGCCGACGGGGCAGGAGCGGCAGCCTCGCACGGCGGGAAACGAACGAGTAAAAATAAAGGGATGGAAAGCGCGGAGAAGAAGAGGGGAGCCCCGTACCTCGCTGCCCG